ATGTTTTTTGTTCTTGGAGTTCATTGAGCCTCTAGGATTTGTTGAAATTCTGTGGGTTTATAGTTTTCATCAAATTCGGAAAAATTTCAGCCATGATTTATCCAAATATGTTTTTTCCTTCCTCCTCCTCTGGGGGCTCCAACTACACATCTTTAAGGTGCTTGCACTTGTCCCAGAACTCACTGATGCCCTGATGCCCTTTTCATTTTTTGGATTACTTTTATTCTCTGTTTCATTTTGGGTAGTTTCCATTGTTATGTCCTAGAGTTCACCAGGCTTTTCTTTTGCCAAGTCTAAACTGCTGTTAATCCCATCCAGTGTATTTTCATCTCAGACACTGTAGTTCTCATCTCCAGAAGTTCAGGTTGGAGCTGTTTTATGTCTTTCATGTCTCTACTTAGCATGTTTAGTTTTTTTCACTAGCTTTTGGAACATATGGAATGCAGTTATAATAACTGTTTTAATGTCCTTGTCTAACATCTGTGTCAGTTCTGGGTCAGTTTCAGCGGATTGCGTGTCCTCACTATAGTCGTGTTTTCCTGCTTCTCTGCATGCCTGGCAGGTTTACTGGATACCAGACATTGTGGATTTTACCTTGTTGGATGCTGGACATTTTTGTATTCCTGTGAATGTTCTTGAACTTTGTCCTGAGATCTAGTTAAGTTACTTGGAAATGATTTGATCCTTTCAGATCTTATTTTTATGATTTGATAAGTGAGTCTGGAGCCATGCTCAGTGTAGAGCTAATTATTCTGCACTACTGAGCAAGATTTTCCAGAGTATTCTATCCAATGCCCTGTGATGCTTTTCCAGTTTGATTGGTAGAAACACGTACCATCTTTGGCCCTGTGTGAGTTTCAGGCACTATTTCTCTAATCTTTTCAGATGGTTTTCCCTGCCAGTCTTGAGTGGTTTTCTTGCCTCTGTATGGCTACCAGTATTCTGCTGAATCCTCGAGAGGGGCCCTCTGAAGATCTCTTTGGGGCTCTCGCGTGTAGCTGTTTCCTTTTGGTACTTTGTGGTACTGCCTTGATCATGCCAGACTTTCAGCTCTGTCTCCTCAACATGGGGAACCTGGACCAGGGGGACCACCCGACTCCCCCTTGCCCTGCCCCAGCCTGGAAACTCTCTGGAGGCTGTAAGCTCTCAGCCAAGTGGCCACCTACCTCCTTTGCTGCTGTTCCTTGGGGATCGCTGTTCTTTGTGGCCTGCTGGCCAGGGCCTTCAAAATCCTTGTTTCATGCATTTTTCTGGTTTTTGTTGTTTCTGGGTACAGGGTAAATCTAGTCTGTGTTCTTCATCCAGGGTAGAAGCAGAAATCCCTTATCAGTCTTTGTGTGTACAACTGACGAACATGGAAGGAACGTCCTGACTTGTGAAACTGCCTTTGGGGGGGTGTAGTTTATCACCAAAATGAAGTTATTGTTAGACCATTAGAAGGGACTGAGAGAGATACAAACCAACTCCATACCATAATGGCGAGGGGATTGGGGATATTTACCTGTTCCTCTATGTCAAGGAGGTAAAAGTTTAAAAAAAAAATTTTTTTTTAATAAAAATATCTTATGGAGGTAATGTTTGTGTCAGTATTACATAGCAATTTTTAAAAGCAGTTTGTGTGTTTGCCAATATTAGGACCTTCTAGAAGAGACAGAAGGTGGTTTTGTATTCTGTTTTTTAAAATGTGGTCCTTCTTGTATAATAATGCCAAGGTCAGTGGGATGATTTTTATTGCCTTTCTTTGCTGTCAGGGAATTTATTTAACAGAAAAATCAGCCACCAGTTCATACTTAACTGGATAACTTTGTAAAGAAATCTGTGCCATTCAGAAATTAATGCCAGTAAGTGAAGCAAAATGAATAAATGTTATGTTTATTATTCTTAATTGCTTAATTTTAGGTCATATGTATTACTACTATAATTCTTTTTTATTTTTGTGGGTTCGCTTTTGAGGGCTCAGTCGCTTGGCACTGTCACTCTGTGTATAACTGATACACATAGTACATACATGTCCTTCTTATAGGACACAGAGTACACTTTTCCTCTTTTTTAAGTGATTTTGCGGATTTCTAGTTACATCTTTGCTTTTGTGAATTGTAGTTGGTCATATCTGTCACTTGGTTGTTGCCAAGTCCCTGGGCAGAATTAGCTGTCAGTGACAACATTGCCCATACAGGAACACGCACTCAAAAGTAGGGTCGACTGGTATTTTTTCTTTCGTTTTCTTTTCCTACCAGACAAAGGGGAGGGGCGCTCACGTCTTTGCAGGCAGTTGGCACATTGACAGACTTTCTCAGCTTTCGTTTAACCTCACAACATCCAGTATTGAGAGGAATTTTGCTTTATTTGTTTGTTAAATAATGTTGTTCCCTGTGATTTCATATAGTTAAAAATAATTTTAAGAATAGGCTTTTTAGGGGAAACCACTATGATAAGACCCATGAATACAGTAGGTAATGGAGTTCACTTCCAGAGAGGAGGGGAGAATTTCCCCACGGATCAAGATGAGAGTTAAATGTTTTAAAGAGGATCAGGTGAACAGAATCATATTTTGTCTTCTCTTGACCTGCAGGGAGCTGAGCGGAAGATCAGGGATGAAGAACGCAAGCAGAGCAAGAGAAAAGGCAAGTGCACTGACCCCAGCTCCCAGCCGAGTGCCTGTAAGTAGAAACGTGCCCGCCGCGCTGCAGGCTGCAGAGTGGCGGCCTCAGTTGTCAAGCACAGATATAGTAGCATGTGTTTTTGCTGTTGCGAAGTGGTAGCACTGTGTCCTTCCTCAGATGCAACGGCAGATGGAGGGATTTTCCTGGGGAACTGCGGGATGGATTTTTGAGTTTTTCCAGGGCTCAGGCTTCTTTGGCTGTCAGGGCTAGTTCAGGTTGCTGGTTCCTGTCCTGAAAAGCAGCACATGTTCCATGTGAATAGCTGCAAACATTGAGACTTGTCTAGATTTTTTAAAGTAAATAATGTCCTTGAGAATTCAGGATGTCTTAATTCCAAATGAGTGTTGTTTTCTTTTTTTTTTTTTCCTTTTTGTCTTTTTTCGTGTCCGGCAATGGATCGCAACCCTCAGTGTCGCTCCCGTACCGGACCGGTCCGGCAACGGGATCGCAACCCTCGGTGCTGCGCCTGCGCCTCGCTCAGCCAGTGAGTGGGAACCGGTCTGTATGTGGGATCCGATCCCTCGGCGGGGGCACCGCTGCACTCACAAGCGGCGCACTGTAGCAGTGCGCCACCAGGCCGGCCCATGAGTGTTGTTTTCTTATGCATAGTATTCTAACATTTGCAGAACCTGTAAGGCTTCTGTTTGGACATTTCACCATGGAAGGTTTTTCCTTCTTTAAATGTGACCAATATAGGGCCGGCCCGGTGGCGCACTGCTACAGTGCGCCGCTTGGGAGTGTGGCGGCGCT